CTTTTAATGTGCCCCCAGAGAAAGAAATCTAAAGGATTTAAGTCGGGTGACCGAGGGGGCCACTCAATTGCACCTCTTCGTCCTATCCAGCGTCCTGGAAACGTCTCATTTAGGTAATTGCGCACATTGAGCGAGTAATGTGGAGGAGCTCCGTCTTGCTGGAAAATCAGTTCGTGTTCATTGTAAGCAGGGTCGTCCTCTATGATATTTGTTAGAGCTGGGTCGATGACATTTTGTAGTAAATCCAAGTACATATCGCCTGTCAAATTTCCAGGAAGGAAAAAAGGACCTACAATGGAATTTCCAAAAATACCTGCCCATACATTCAACTTCTGGGGGTGTTGGGAGTGTGTCTCATGGAAAATCCTTGGATTGGTATCAGCCCAGTAACGACAATTATGGCGATTCACTAAACCATTCAAGAAGAACGTACACTCGTCCGAAAAACACACATTAAAGAGGAAATTATCGTTTATCGCTCGTTCAGTCATTATTTCGCAAAATTGCAAACGACGATCAAAATCGTCTTCATTTAGCTCTTGCACTAGCCGAATCTTATAAGGATGGAATTTGTATTTTTTTAATATTCGTTGGACACTTGTACGACTCACTCCTGTCGCAGTAGCCAATTGCATTGTACTCAGCGTACTATCCATTGCCACTTGCCCCAATACCGCTATTTCCGTAGGTTCATTTAGTACCGGATTTTCAACCTGCCTCTTTTTGTTATGAACGGAGCCAGTTTCGCGAAATTTGGCCACCAATTCGCGAACAATTTTTCCAGACGCATGTTTCTCAGGATGCCGTTGGTTGAACAGTTCGGCGACCCGATTTCCGCATTCATTGTTTTTGAAAAAAAGCTCAATAATTTCTACTCTTTCTGGAATTGAGTACACCATAATTAATCAATTTAAAAGACTCGGCAGTATTGGTACTCTTCAACTACAAGTCACAAGACAGTTATCTAGCAACTTCTTGTGGCCTATCTAAATACGAAACAAAAAGCGGACAATTTTTTGCTCACCAAAATCAGGCTAAAGAATTCGCAAATCAGAAAAAAAAAAAGCGAATTCTTTTGAAGGAATTTACCAAGCTAATACCGTAAGTTTTGAAGTAAAATTAAATCGATTTTCGCATTTCTCGTCAAAAATATTGTTCGTATTTTCAAAGCTGCATATTTTCTAAAATAATGGATCGATTTTCAAAAAGTAAGAATCGATGTATAGAGAATTAAAAGCCCTTTCTAATGACCCCCCACTTGACCCCCATTCCCATTTAAAAAAATTTGGGGGATGGCACCCCCACTTAGGGGGTTGAAGATTTTGCTATGCTTTTTGCGCCAAAAGTTGTCCTCCTCAGAAGCAAAGTTTACCTGTTCTTGGATTTTGCCGAAAAGTTCATTACCTGTATACCGTAACACACTAGTACCATAAATAACTATTAAATTAATTGTAAAAGTCAAGAATTAAAAAAAAAGAAAATACATTAAGATAATCAAGGACTCAGGAGTTACATCAATATCTCTGTATCCAAAAATATGATGTAACCAATTACGAATGAGACGAGTTGATTGAGAAGGGTAATAACACATTGAAAATAAATTTTTGAGAGAAATTTCATTAGATGAAAGGATTCACAAATTTATTTTCAATATGATTATGCCTTTGCCACTGAATTTTTTTCATTCATAATAATTAATTACATTAAGCTTTTGACAATAATGTTGACATAATGCTATTTTTAAAAGGCTTATTTCAGACAATGTCTGTTTATAGATACAAATTTCGGAAATTATGTATATTGAATTATTGAAAAATAAAATTAAATACAGTAAGTGTCGCCAATACTTTACTATATGATATATATTGTATTTAAAAAACGATTCGAACTTTCAATGGAATGACGTTTATATGCTTTTTTAGTTCCGTTTTCAATATTAATTATTTAAAAATAAAATTATTAACCTGTCGAACTTGAATCTTTTTCTTTTATTTTTTAATTAGACAATTCTTCAGTATATTTTGTTTCATATTATTCAAAATAAAGCTTCTTCCTACTTCAACTATTTCACATTTTCCTGTTTTCTGAGTATGTACTCTATAACTATACCTACTATCTTGTCTGCGGTAATGTAATTATTTTGAGAAGCAAAAATATTGAAAAAATGGAATAGTTTTTTCTCCTACCAATATCTTTCTATTATGTGTTCATCAAACTACAACTGTTGGTCTATCATAAAATATATGTATATAATTATTATAAACGTCATAATGTAGGATCAAGATCAAAGTGATATTATTTTGTGTAAAAAAATATGTTAAAAGTAATGCACGTATCTCAATTTCATATGACTCATTTCCCGGTATTAGATTTAGTTCTATTTGCAGCGGTTGCAAATTAAACGCTAAATTTAGTTGCTATAATTCATATATAAATGACTAATTTTGACCGTGTTGGAATTTTGTTAAAAACGGAAGTGATACGTAGATACCGATTAAAATAAAGCATAAAAAGTAAATTTGTTGGAACAATATTAAGAACGATAAAGTGTAAAGTAGTACAGAGAAAAATATACAGGACATCCTCGATCGGTTGAGATAAGGATGAATAGAAAACCGTAATATCTCAAGAAAGTATAATCATATCATTAGGTTTTCTTTGTCTGTCGGCTTTTTGTGCAACGTGTATTTTATTCACACTTGTATGTGCTTGTGTTCATAAAGAAAACGTGCTAGTCAAGTCAGCCTCCTTAGTGACACAGAGTCTACGTTTTCCCAAAAGCGACCAAATTAAACCCGATTCTAGTAATTTCGCTATTTGGTGATTCCCAACCTACTTGATCTATAATATTTGAAGAGAGCTCCGAAGGGTTTTGGTAGCATGGCATCCCCTGATACTTGTTTTTCTAATAATATCCTTTATTATTTATTACAATTATTGTTTCACCCATTAAATTTAAAAAATACAAAATTTGAAATAAGTTTTAATAACGAAACTACAGTACTTAATTATTTAACTCACTTCAATTTATTCAATATATTTAAAAAAAATACACATCCACAGGCGATGCCCAATAAAAGGATATCTTAAGAGGGCTCTATAGCAAATAGGCAACCAGTAATACATTTTTATAGATTTTATTACATAGTTTGTCTAAATATGAATTAATGCACAAATAACAGACTTTTCTACATTCTAACGCAGATTTTCTATAAAATGGAGTTATTTGAATCTCAAATTACTTTTTGTTGTAAAGAAATTTGTAATTTGCAGCTTTTGAACAAGCGGCATCGTAAATTACAAGTTTCGTTACACCAAAAAGTAATTTGAAGTTTCAAACTAACTCCAATTTATAGAAAATCTGCGTTACAATGGGGGAAAGTCTGTTACTTGTGCATTAATTCATATTTACACAAACTGTTTAATAAATTCTATAAAAATGTAATGCTGGTTGCCTATTTGCTGTAGAGCACTCTTGGCTATTATTAAAATATAACTAAGAGAAAAGAGAAGAGAAATGGAAATATGATTTTATTACGTCCCTTGCATGAATTATAGTTTACAAGATATTAATTCTGCAGCAAATAGAGAACCAGGATGTGATAGCAAAACATATAACGAAATAACTAAACTGCACTTTTAACCCCAGTGTTATGGAGTTCAAAATCAAATACTCAAAAAATTTTTAAATTTAAATTTTGTATCAGTAAAAAGCATAAAAGCACGATTATACAGAGTGTCCCGAATTTCATAAGTTATACTTTCCTTGCTCATAGAACACTTCAAAATAAGAAAAAAGTTTCCATAAACATGGATCGGGAAATGATTACACAGGTCAACATTTAGTTTGAAAACATTTATCTTCCTGTCTAAATTACTAAATGTTTCTATCTGTCTGTTTTACTGCCACCAAACAAATGTAGGCAGGTAAAAAATTTTTACAATTTTTTCACCTCCTGTTCTTACTTTTACCTTTAAACGACCTTGAACAGGAGGTAACCAACCTCGGTATCGAAATCAGCGACCCTTGGGTTCGTAGGTAAAATCCGGTGTTTTCTTTTCAAACTAAATGTTGACATATTTTCGAAGAAATCAATTTTTATAGGTGTCGCTGAAGAGGATTTTTTTTTATTTGTAAATTTATGAGAAAATGTATGTCATTGTTTATAAATCGAATTGATCCAGTTGGAAATATTGCCAACAGTTACAGGGGGCACTAAGGAACGTCTTAGAGGTCCACCATTGTCTAAGGGGCTCTGATAACGTTCCGCCCCCACAGAGTCTAGCCCTAGAACAACAAGGACCGGTCTAAGATTTCCAGCTACGCCTAAGGAAGTGTACTGTAAGCTTACAGCTGGTGGCGACAAGGTACACAGAACTGGAAACTAGTAACAATGTCTTTTAGTAACGCTTTTCGAGATTTCAAGATATTGAAGCACTTTGCTTGGGTTATTTTTCAAACAATAACACATTTTTACCAGTTTGAGGACTGGCAGAAAGTTTTATAAAGAATTACATTTTCTCATAATTTCACAAATAAAATCATTTTTCTTCTTCGGTACACAATCATGGAACACTCTCCTGCAAGCAATAACATTTTGCTTACATTCGCCATAGTATATGTTGTAGGACGAAATGACAAAACAAACAACAAAATCAGTCAGGGACCGAAGTAAAATTTGGTGGTACATTCTTTTTTCATATTTAATAAATACACAACATTAGGATCCACTTACACAAAAAATCTTTTGAATGGGGGCAAAAAAAACAATAATGTAATCAGTATTTATTTTCCTGATCTAAAGGAGTGTTTCACTTTACTTTAACGATATTAAGCAATACAAATTAGTTCCAAAAATGTTTCCAAAGAAAATCTGATCAAGTTAAACATGAGGTTATTTTTGTTTCTGAAAAGTTCTACCAACAAGTAAAGTTTGGCTTATGTGATTAGAGAGCAAATTTATCGATTTATACTAATACTATTTTTTTTTATTTTTTAGATTCGAAGAAGGACAACTTAACCATTTACTGTTTCCGCCTCCTTTACGTCAACAAGGATATTATACGAAATGCGACAATAGCTCTAGCGATTTGCCTGGCATGTCTCATTATAACGCTGATTTTAACGCAAAACTTAAAACACGTAATAGATGATCACGACTATAACTACACGGAACACAACTACGGAACGCAACTAGGCAAGCACAAAGTTTACTACAGATCAGCCTGGGGTGGGAAAACGCCCAAAATTAATACCAAACCTCTACAACACCCTGTCCATATAATTATAATTTCTCACACCTCTACATACAACTGCAACACCACCGAAAAATGTTGTATGTTAATCAGAGAGGTTCAAATGAAACACTTTGCGATGCCATTTCGTAGCGTTGACATAGGATACAACTTTATGATTGGAGGAGATGGGAATATCTATGTTGGAAGAGGATGGGACATTCAGAACTTCCACAGGAAAATCAGTATAGGCATTAACTTTATTGGAGATTTTAATTATGACGATTTTACGGAGGATATGAGACAGGCAGCAAAGGAACTTATCAAACAGGGACTAGAACTGAAGAAACTTTCTGAAGATTACATTATAGTCGGAGAGAATCAGACAAATTCTAGAATGTATGTTAGTCCAGGAGCAAATGTTTACAAAGTGATAAAACATTGGCCGCATTTTTACAACAGAACATTATTTTAAAACTGATTAGAATTCTCAAAAATCTTGAATATTTACATACCTAGGGAAATTTACTACATACACTCGTAGTATATTTAATTTGTTTTTGTCTTTGTAAAAATTGTTAATAAACGTGTGTATATTTTTGTTAATTTTTGTAACATTCTCAAATGTCTCGAATGTTTACGTGCCTAGGGAAATTTATAAGTACATGTACTCGTAATATATTTAATGTGTTTTTATCTTTGTAAAATTGTTAATAAACTTATATATATTTTTGTTAATTTTGCTAATCTGTGCTCAACAAGACTATTTACTGTCCATAATGTGTTCATTTAGCAATCTTTTTAACCTTATAGTGGTAATTTCTTTTTTATTCTTCTTCAAATATGCTTCATTTTATTATCCTGGTGCGATAACTTGATATATTTATATAGAAATTTTTTAAATCGAGTGGGAACCGATCAGCCTCAACACCAAAGATTCGGTACCTATTTAAAAATAAAATGAAAATTTTTGTAATATTGAATAAAAATTAGAAATAGAAAAAACAAAAACAAACAAAAAAACAAAGAGGAAAAACAAAAAATAAAAAATAAATAAAAATAAAAAACAGAAAAACAACCCTTTTAAAGATTGCTGCCTTGACGGCAAAAGGACTTAAGTCTTATATAAACGAAGATAACGAAATACAGTTCATCGAATAATTTCGGTAAAAAATACAGATTTTGAGTCTGAGTGTTTTTAGCTGAAATTGTTGGAATTTTTATAACTTATCTAGTAAAATTTTATCTATCTATAAGTTTCAAGGGTTTGAGTTTATGGACGTGGCATAGGTTTAAGACTTCAGAAATACAAAATATTAACTCCTGAATAGAGTTTTCAAAGAGTCACATTCTTTGATTTGGAAAATATCCTTCGTCTAGCTCAGATTTCTTAGATTTGAGGTTAAATATTTAAGAATAATGGTTAGGGGCTTCAAAAATAATAAATACCTATAAGTTTCAGAAAATAGTTTTCAAGTTTTTCAATAGTTTTCTTTGGTATACATTTAGTACAGTAATTGAAGCTTTTCACCTCTGAATTCTTTGAAACTGAACGGATCGACTTGAAATATAACAGATAGTTGGAGAAAAGGTCAATGAACTTTAGTGACATAGCGCTGATTGACGCTTCCACCCTGTTGGGGGTTGACATTTTTTTTTTCAAAAATAACGCTGGAAATCGAGAGAATTTTAAACAAAAAATATTCGCAGAATTTTTTCGAGAAATAGATAGTTTTTTTAGTTATTCACGATTGAAAATTTAGAATTTTGAGTGGAAAAAAAAACACTTTTTCAAAGAATTTTAAGCGAATAACTCAAAAACTACGCATTTTATGAATAAAAGTGTAATAAACAAATATGTAGCTTATAAATAAACAAAGAAAATCGTTTTTTAAAAAGTGTTGTACCCTATACAAAGCGAAATATGGTTAGTGGAAGGGGACTTGTTTTGGGGGGAATACTGGAATCGATGTATTCAACGTCAAATAACGGAAAAAGGATTAATTTTACGTGTATAACGCTCCTGAAGTTTTTCGTAGTACTCAAAAAGACCTTCAAAATGAGCACTTACAAAAGTTAATTAGAGCAAAATTGAAGGAGTTATCGTCAAAAACAGATGGGTTGCTCATATTTTTTAAGGAAAAATGACCAGTAAACGCTGTACCATTTCCTTCTGAACTAAAATTAATCGTAGACCCTTTACAATTAGTTTTGTTTCAGTGTTTTTCATACGATCCTGAAGATAGACTGGTTTAGAATGCATATTTTTTAAATAATGTAGGGTTAAAGTTGAAAACGTATTTTTCATTATTCAAAAAAAAAAATTGCCTTATTTATATAATAACTCTGAAACTATGAAAGATACGTAAAAAATTAACCAAAATGTAGCTTTCCTTTCAACAAATTTTTATTAACGTTATTTAATCTTTGTGCTTGAACAAGATTTTTATCAATAAAATGCTCAAAATTTATTTTTTCAATTCTTTTCACTTATTTTCACTTTTACCCCTAAAAACAAAAAACGTCAATCGGCTTATGTCACTTTTGAACTTGAGTCTAAGATGAGCCTTATTCTAAATTTTCATGCAAATCCATGCAGTTTCAAAGAATTTGGAGGTTACAACTGATTTTCAGCTTTAATGACTAATGTACTAATTCTATGAATTTCTAGCTCAAGTTTTTGGATTTTGAGGGATTAGGGTTAGGTTTTGAAGAGTTTAAGGTTATGTTATTATGGGTGTAGGTTTATGGCTTTAGAATTAGGAAATATAAGCCCAAAAATATAGTTTTCTAGTAATAATACCCATAGATTTAGAAAAGACCTAGTGTATTATTTTGAGGTTAGGTTTGATGAATTTGAGGTTATGTTTCTGGGTTCAGGTTTAAGGTTGAAATATATTGTGAAGCTATATGATTATTTTTGTTGTTTAATCAACCTCAGATACGAAATTTTTTATTATTTTATTTTTAAATAGGTACAATGAACGCGTTTCCATTTTTGGTAACATTGAACTGTCGCTGGCAACACTTTACCGCACAAATGGCGCAAAATTCAGACTTTGCGCGAAATTTGGGACACCCGATAAATGGTAATAATTTTAAAAGCGAAGGAAGTTGTGTACCAGATTAATAATTTAAGGTAAGTTGTCCCACATCCTATGAAAAATATCACCCTTACAGCTTGGGGATTACGCCTTCAAAACAAAAATTAAAAAGACTTTTTTTAAATCAGTTAGGTTAGACATTTTACTCACTCAGCAACAGTAATGAATTATTTATTAAATTTGTCCTTTGCAATACGATGGGAATTTCCAATACTTAATAATGTTGTCATGAAATTTTTCATTCCGCGCAGGTCTGCAAAACCAGTCATGTGTGTTACAAACCTGTGTAAACAAATAATATTTGTTCGGTTAAGTTGCTTTAAAATACGAAGGTTTGCACTCTGTTTAAAAGGTAAGACATTTCTCATTTTAGGTAAGGTGCAAGTTAAAAAATTTTAACGTTCTGGATGAGTTTCCGAGATAATGCAGGTTTGGTTAATAAAAAGCTTAAATATCATGGACGTTTAACTTTCATCAGGTAGGTACTACTATCATAATTTACATAAAATATAAAATAAAATTTATAACTCCGTTCATAGGCGCCGAACCCTGGGTTATCGACTACGGTTTTAGTTTTGCTCATTGTCTTTCTCTGTCACTCTTGAAGTACAAAAATATAATAATCAATTGCAAATAGTGCAAAAGTGAAATATACAAAGAACTTATTTCTATAGAATTGCTTATGATTCTGACCAATATATTTATCGATAATTTATACAGGTTGTTTCTAAAATAGGGTTCCAAACTTCTGCTGCGTTTATAACTCATTAAAATAAGCCAAAAAATTCCTATTAACATGTGCCCAAAAACGCACCCTTAGGAAGTTATATGCCCTTAAAAGGGCTCAAACAAAAACTGTTTTTTTTTCTGTTATTGACAAAACGGTCGAAAATAAATAGAAAAAAATGTATGGGTCTTACATAACTTTTTACGTTAAATAACATGGGCTACTCCGTTTTTCGACATGCAAATCATGTGCGTCCCATTTAGGTTGGTGAAGGGGGTTTCGGCCGGTAATGTTTTTTATTTCAATTATTTTACAATTTTCTTTACAGATTTACAAAATCTTAACAATTTTACGTAAAACATATTATCTTTGTCCAAATTGATATTTCCAATGGTTTTCGAGTAAATTGAGTTTAAAAATTCAGTAACATTATTTAAATAAGTTGCAGTTATGAAGGATCCGATCATTTAATAAATAATTTAGGACATAAACTAAGACTATTTAAATTTAGAGTTACACTTACTAATTAAAGAACTAATTACTACTGCAGACAATAGCTAAATGTGAAATAGAAAATAATGGGATTAAAATTAGTAATAATAAGTTAAATTACAAGAACTGCTCGAAGTGACCACCTTGCATTTCGATGCATAATCTAGCTCGACGCTTCAATGATTTGCGAACTCTTTGGAAAATTCTAGGTGTTTGCCTTATTTCCATGCACGCGGTTTCAATTTCCTCCCGTAGTTGCTGAATGGTCTCAATTGGAATTTTATAAACCTTTGCCTTAAGTTGACCCCACAAAAAATAGTCCAGGGGGTTAAGGTCAGGGGAACGTGGAGGCCAGGGAACAGGACCTCCTCGGCCTATCCATTTTTCTCCATACAACTCATTTAAGTGTTGTCTTACATTATGTAGGTAATGAGGTGGCGCCCCGTCCTGCATAAACCATATGCTTTGGCGTTCAATTAAAGGGACATCTTCCAAAAGTCCTGGCAAGTCGTTAACTAAAAAATTGTAATAATCCTCACCATTCAATCGATTAGGCAACACAAACGGTCCGATTAGCCGATCGCCTAAAATGCCTGCCCAAACGTTGACGGAAAACCGAATCTGATGTCTGGACTGAAATATGCTGTGTGGGTTTTCATCAGCCCATTCATGAGCGTTATGAAAATTGACATAACCATCTTTACTGAAGCTTGCCTCATCCGTAAACAAAATAAGAGATGCAAAATTCGGAATCCGCCTCGATTTTCGCAAAAACCATTGGCAGAACTGCCGATGTGGTTCGTAGTCATTCGGATTTAAAGCTTGAACACGCTGGATATGAAAAGGATGAAGTAGTATAGAAAGAAAAGCAAAGAATTCGCCAAACTACGGAAAAACTTATGTTGTGCATACGTGCGACACTTCTTACACTAACCCTTGGATTGTCCTGCACAGCTCTCAATACATTTTCTTCCATCACCGGTGTTCTTACAAATCTGTCTCTGCCACGATCATTTACTCTTGGTTGGAACGAACCAGTTTCTCTTAAACGATGATGGATCCTCTGAAATACCTGCCTCGATTCTGATGCATTTCCAGCCGCACGGCCGTACATAAAGTGCATATCTGCCATTTCGGTTTGAATATGACTCCATTTTATGAGTTGCAATAATGTTGTATACTTAAATTTTCCACACACCACTTTTACTAATTAAACACTGCAAAGCTCAATTGACAGTTTAACAATAACTTAAATTGTTAAGTGTTGTGGCAACGTCAGTCTTTTATTTGCCACGGTAAACAGATTTTTGTAATTTTTGGCCTAATAACTTAAAGAGCAGAGTAATTTTCAAACTCAATTTATTCGAAAACCACTGGAAATATCGATTTGGACAAAGATAATATTTTTTAAGTAA